CTCGAGGTCTTCTTCAGTGCATACAGTTAGAGGATGACTGCTTGACCGTTGAAGTTAGCTGCTTGATGCTGCAGCTTCGTCAGATATTGAGGAGCACCTTTCAATGCGTAATATGCTGTGACTGTCATCGCGATTTAATCAACATTATATCGTTCATAACAGGGACAAAGAGCTATACAAGCCCCTTGCAGAGCAGAGACGCACTAGCTGCCGGAAGCGGACAGAAATATTTCTACAATGCAAGGTATTGGTATACTTGAAATTGAGGGCATTGATGGTGGAGGGCCATTAGCCTGTTCAACTCACAAGGCAAGAATCTCCTCTTTCGTTGTTCAAATAGCTGAACGTCTGACCGGACATCACTCAGGATTTGGTACACACTAGGTGCACTAAATCCGATGTATTCTGGAGCATCTTGAAGACACAAGATGATGCGCATATGCAACTCCAAAGCCAGAACACCGATACGATTGAACGACAGACTGTTAAATGATTCAAGCTGGAAGTTATAGCCTATTGGACTGACCATGAGCTACGATCTAGACGGCTCTCAGACGTAATAGGCAGTCAGGGGACTCTCCAAACGAACATCTCCGAAATCGGTTCCGCAGTTCCTATTTATCCTTTGTTTGCTTGGCAGGCATTTCACTTTAGGCTGTTAGACCCTGACCTGGTGGTTCTTACCTCCCCAACACTCCTCAAGGCGCATTTTAGACCGCCTCTCCTAAGTTTAACCTGGATATCCCTTTCTTTTTGCAAACCTGGTCATAGAAGACCGCCTATCGTCCGGTGGAGCCGCCTGTCCTATCGTTAGATCGACTAGGACAAACCAAACACTAGGACTCCGCCCCATTCAACCAGCTCAAGGTCGCCATCACGTCCTTTTGTCTTATGCAAGATTCGGGATCACTCGTGAGCATTCCAGTCGGAATAGCGATTGGGCTATTAGCCTCCTTTGTCCAGTCTTTGGGTAAGTCTTTATCTTTCGTTGCTGGGTGATCACAATCGTGCCTAATTTTTGGATCGTTATTAGGATTAACTATCCAACGAAAGAGCCATGTTCTGAACCAAGAAGTGCCGGAGGAACAGCGACGGGTTGAACATAGACGACCGTAGGTTAACGTCATCTTCAGTAAAGACTGTGTTGACTTATCGCCTCCTGACAGGCTATGGCTCCTCGGGTTCGGCATATTCATATCGTCGAATATCTTAGGATCAGTGTTCCAGATAGCTTCACTCCCGGTGGTCATTTTGGCACCTCTCGGGGCAGTTTCTCTGCTATGGAATGCACTGTTCGCACGACTTATTCTTGGCGATGTCCTCTCTCGCCATATGATTTTTGGGACGCTCTTCATTGTAGCGGGGGCGGTCCTGATAGCTCGATTCGGTATTGTACCTGAACCTACCCATTCCCTAGAGGATCTCCTCGCATTGTTCCGTCGAGATGCATTCATCATCTACTTCTCTCTACTTGGCACGGCTGTTGTAATCGCCCTGATTGCGGTACGGATTTACTCCGATTTAGTTCCTGTCCTACATTTCACTGATATCAACCCCTTCTTAGACGCATATCCTGGAATGGTCGGTCACCCGTCGCAGTGCAGGCGCTGCCTCACAACTTAACTCTTCATCACTTCAAGAGTCTGCCCCATTCCCTATACCCTTGACGACCACAACACCAAATGCTACTGAGAGAACGCCGCTACTAGATCCGAAACTACGCCGGTCCCCTTCGCCTGCACCTTCCTCATCATCCACTTTCTCGTCACAACGGCCCAGAGGTCCTTACAATCTGATTGCCGTGTCTTATGCCTCGGCCTCGGGGATCCTTTCGGGCATGTGCCTGTTATTTGCCAAATCTGGAGTTGAGCTACTTTTACTAACATTCGAGGGCAAGAATCAGTTCTGGAGATGGGAAAGCTGGGCTCTTGTTGGAGGGCTGATTGTATTTGCACTTCTCCAGGTGAGTCTAGATTATAGCTGTGGATTCACTTTAGTCATATATCTCTACGTTACGCTAGCTCTGGTACCTTCACAAGTCGCTTGTTCTGGCTGATCCCAAACTAGTATGCCCATGTGAGTGAAGAGTTATCTGAAATCACCTGGTCCCAAAATCTGACAATCTCACAGTGGCATTCTGCTTTTACAATCTGTCTTCCATCGTCAACGGTCTCGTCTATTATGACCAACTGAACCTTCTTTCCCCTTTACATCTTTCATTGGTCATTCTGGGTATTTTTATTCTATTAGCGGGTGTCTGGGCTGTCAGTGTTCAAACCGAGGTTGTGGAGGATGATGAATCGGAGGATGGGGCGACAGCTGTGGGTGGACTCAGGGAAGGTGATTGGATTCCAGCTGATGAAGAAGGGGTTGCACCTGCTGTAGCACCTGCGGATATAGTGAGAGTGGCAGAGAGGGTGACTGGTACACAACCAGAGTTGCACTCTGATGATCACGGACAACGTGACGCCTCAGATGCACCAGTCAATTCCAAACCTCGGCTGTCTCCAATAACCTCTAACTCGGACCCCGCATTATCTCAACATTGGCCTCTGATTCACGAGGCTAATGATGATGAGGAGGTGCGGGAACCCTCACCAACTTCCCATATCGCCGCAACTGCCAGTCATTCGCGCCCACCGCGAACCCCTATCAGTCCTTCCCGCCGGCCCCGATTCAGCTCTTTGTTATCTGGAAATGGTGAAGATCAACCAGTACCTGGATTTAGCATAGGACTCTCGCCAGTGAGTCCAGGTTTTGGATTCGGTGTGGGTGTTGGAGATACACGAAGAAGATCAACACACCGGATACCTCATCAACATAATCGAAGGTCATTCAGTGAAAGCCAAGCACATAGTGGTGCCCCATTAACGGATGAGGGTGATGAAGGCACTGATATAGGGAGAGGTCGGGAGTCTGATCCCCGT